TAGAAAAACTGAGGCAAGAGGATCTCCTGAGCCCAACAGTTGGAGGTTGCTGTGAGCTATTCTGTCTACCCAGGGCGACAGAATGAGACTCTGTCTCAAAAAAAAAAAAAAAAAAACTAGATTTTTTTTTTTTTGGCCAGGGCCAGGTTTGAACCCACCATCTCCAGTATATGGAGCCAGTGCCCTACTCCTTGAGCCACAGGCACTGCCCAGTAGATTTTGTGTGTGTGTGTGAAAATATTTTACACAATCAGGTTTACCATCTTTCTCAATATCTTTATACCATCTTAGAAAGACTTTTTCAGAATTCTGAAATCTCTCTTTTCGTGTCAACAGTATGTGGCAACATGAAATTAGCCTTGTAAGCTTGTTTCTCCCCTGATCCCTTTCAATTTACTCTCTATAGCAACCAAAGCGATCTTTTAGAAAAGGTCATATTTCTCATCTGAGAACTCTGAAATTATTCCCCACTGTTCCTAAGATAAAATCCAAAGTCCTCGATGTGCCAAGAAGGTACATTCGGTATCTGCGCTTCTCTCCACTGGGCTCACCCGGGCTCGTTTCTGTTCCTGGAACATGCCAATCTCTGTCCCACCATAAGGCCCGTGTGCCACCTGTCATCCTACTTGCAGGCCTATTTCCCTTTACACCACCGTCAACTCCTCTTACTTCAGATCTCAACCGCCACATCACCTTTCCAGAGAAAGGACTGGCCTGGAAAAGCCTGTCTGTCACTCCTTTTACTCATCACATTACCTCTGAAGCACTAATCACAGTCTGAAATTATCTTAAATTACCTGCATATTTCTAAAGTAGCCAACTTGATTGTAAGATTCTCAAGGGCAGGCACCATGTGGTGGTGTGTTGCCATAGAAGTAAGAGCTGGCTCTCAAAAGACCAATTGAGAGCTCTGATTTATAGCAATAGCCAATGTCCTCAGTGTAAAAAACTAACACTGTGGCTAATTTCAAACAACAATGTGAGGTTAACCAGCTTGCAAATTTTACTGAAAATGTAACGATCAGCTTTCACAAGCCTCTCCAGGCCTACACCACTGGCAATTTGTCTCACTTATTTACTATTGCAAAAAATAGAACTAGGGCTATGCCAGGCACAGAGTTTAAGAGTTCAATAAATGTTGAACATTTGATTGGAATAAAGTTATTCTCAATTCCTCAATTCTATACCATCAAATATAGATTATAATTAATTGAATTCTTTTTGGTGGTTTTCTTTTCTCTTCTCTTTTCTTTTTTTGAGACAGAGTCACCTATTGTCCCAGGCTAGAATGCCCTGGCATCCGCCTAGCTCACAGCAACCTCAAACTCCTGAACTCAAGCAATTCTCCTGCCTCAGCCTCCTGTGTAGCTGGGACTACAGGTTAGACTGTCTCATTTGACAAGACACCATCTTAGGTGTGGCCACAAGAGAGGGGCCTTGGTTGTGTTACTCATGCCCTGCACCCCTCACAGGTGTGGCCATGCACCCTGGGGCTGCAAGGGCCTGTGCTGCAAACCCAGGGTGAAGCCCACAGCTGTGGATATGCCAGATGGACGAACCAACCCTCGTAGGCACCAGCAGTTCCACACCACTGAATCCAGGGATGCTTGGTGTTATGAACTAAATATTTGTGTCCCCTGATATGTTGAATTCCTAATGCCTGATATGATGGTACATTATTACATTTGGGGGCAAGGCTTTGGGCTCATGGGTGGAGCCCTCATGAATGGCACTATGAATGGGACTGGTGCTTTTTAGAAAAAGACCATACAGCTCTCTCTCACCTCCCTCTGCCTTCCTTCTCTCTCCTCTGTCTTCCCCCTCACTCTTCTCTCTCTCTCTCTTCTCTTCCCCACTCTCTCCTTATCTCTCTCCTCCTTGGTGCTGCTCTGCAGCCTCCCTTTCCCCACCAATAAAAACTTTTCCTACAAAAAAAAAAAAAGAAAGAAAAAGATCATACAGCATTCTTTCCACCTCTTTCTGGATGTGAGGACATAACAAGAAGGTAGCCGTCTACAAGCCAGGAAGAGAGCCCTCACCAGAACCCAACTGTGCAGGCCACCTGATCTTGGACTTCCAGTACTTGCTATAGCAGCCTGAACTGATTAAGACACCCAGCTAGGGCTACAGCACCTGACTGCTTGAAATTCCCCAGAATAAGAAAGGAGGCAGTCCCTGATTTACTGATAGAGACCTTGTGCTGATCCCTCTGTAATTAAGTGAGTCTTTAATCCTTTAACAGTAAAATTCCCCTTGTTTCCTTGAACCACATACTCATGACCCCTATTATTTCTACTGTCAACTAAACATCTTGAGACATTCATTTTATTATTTTATTTTACTTTATTTTTTGAGATAGAGTCTCACTTTGTCACCCTTGGTAGAGTGCTGTGGTGTTACAGCTCACAGCAACCTCAAACTCTTGGGCTCAAGCAATTCTCTTGCCTCAACCTCCAAAGTAGCTGAGACTACAGGAACCCACCACAATACCCAGCTATTTTTAGAGGTGGGAGGGTCTCACTCTGGCTCAGGCTGTTCTCAAACCTGGGAGCTTAAGCAATCCACCGGCCTTGGCCTCCCAGAGTGCTAGGATTATAGGCGTGAGCCACTTCGCCCAGCAAGACATTCATTTTAAAAGAAGCGTTTGTATTAGACTTAATATAGTCATTCAAATGTGGAAGCATATTACTGAGTGATATATGTAAACATTTTACGTTAACTGGTTTAACAGCTTGTTTTAGGGCAAAAGAATAATGAGAGAAGGGGTGGGGGAAGGGTGGGAAAGAGAGAAAAGGAGGAAGAATTAAATGAATCAGCATCTCTGGGTGGAGTCAAGGAATCTTTCAATTATGAAGTTACTCTAGTAACTCTGATAAGCGCTAAAGTTTTAGAACCACCTCAAAGGGAAGGCAGACTGATTAGCCCACAGCAGTCATACCAATCCACCTGTCAGCTTGGAGCATCTCACCCCATCCCCTACCTAGGCAAATATCCTAAGAACACACACAAAACTTCCCAGATTCTAAACCTCCCAATTCAAACCTGTTAAGGAACGAAAAACACCCCAATTGCATAGTGATTGATACATGGGTTCCTACAAAAGTTTTGAGACAGACTATTATGGTCCATTATTCCACTTCTCAGAAGCACAGTTGACAGGGTCTTTCTGATTCACTCGTGCGAGTTTCAACGTGCTCGGCTTACCAGTGTTGCTGGGATGGCTTCATTTGTTTCCATCTGTGCGAATTTTATATTTCTTGTTTTTTTGTGCATCTCCAAACTTTTGTAATGACCCACATATAACTCAACTGGACTTAAAAAATATTTTTCCTATTGAGAAATATTTATTTGAATGGCATTTAGTCCTGATTGTTATTGATCACTGTGGTCATTATTTGCTAACATTTTTTGAGAGCTTACTATGTATCCAACATGGAACTAAGTGTTCCACATTACTAATCTCACTTAATCCTCAGAACAAACCTCTGTAGCAGGTGCTATTATTGATTTCCACTTAACAAATGAGCATAGCAGAGAAACACAATTGACAATTATAAAAAACTGAGAACCCACCCAGCTATAGGAGACTGAGCAAAGCAGGGCCTTGTGGCCCTGGGAGACCTGGGGGGTTCTTCCCCGATGCACACACCTGCCAAAAGCAGTGTGGCTCCCGGGAGAAACGGCTGCAAATGCCCCAGGAAGTGTTCTGGATGGTTGAGAACCAAGACACCCAACTCCTAATGAAAGCTTGAGGAATAAACTAGGCTTCATCTGGTCACCTGGTAAAAGGGTCAATCTTTTATTACTTTCTTTCTCTATTAGGTTCTTTGCTAAAAATGATAAAATAAGTATAAAGGAATTTTGAAAGGCAAAAACACCAGATAAAAGCTGCCTCAATTTTTTTTTTATAGATAGATGCAGAAAATGCTCTCAAGATAATTAAAAAATAGTAGAAACAAAATCTCTCGGTTAAATTTTAAGAAATCTGTGCTAAAGTCTACTCATCCCTTGACAACTTTTTCTCTGAAAAGCTCACCCTCACCTCCCCCAGCCGCATTTGCACATGACCCTGACCCTTGGCTGCAGCTGGTTTAGCTCAAGCATGGACAACTGACGAGGCCTGGCCAACTAGAGCCCCTTTCTAGACATCTGGGGGAACTAATCAGTATCTTCTGGCAGTCATAGCTAAGGACACATGTATGGGATTCAGGGGGCTGCCATGTACACAGGCAAGCATGACACACTGGTCTTTGGGGAGAGAGGAGCAAAGCTTACAGGCTCAGGAGATGAGTGACCAGGGCCCAACAAGCCTGGGTCCCTGTCGGCCCCCTACTTCCTAGATCAGGCCCTCCCAGGCACCAGCTTCATTCCTGCCCTTTTTTCCCCCACTGTAGCCAGAGCAAGTGGATTCTGTTTCTTATGGTCAAAAAGGACTGACCAGTGCAGAGGGGCAAGATGTATAGCGCCCTCCAGCTTGCCATGTCTGCCTCTGTTGTCTCTCCTGAAATAAGGCCTCATCTGCAGTCCCAGGTCACCCCTAGGTCTTATCCCAGCCTGTGCCTGGCTTGCCTGTACCTAATGCCACCTCCCTGCACCTCAGCTCAGCCTCCTGCACTCTCTCTCTCTGATCTTCATTTGCCCACCTGGACAACTGACTGGACAATAAGCCTAACTCAGGGTTAGAGCCATGGTCATCCCACTGCCCAGGCTCCTGCATCATCCACCATTTTTGCGTCTTCCTCCAACAATACCCAGTTTAAAGCTGAGCAAAGCCCAAGTGCATTGCAGTGCAGTGCATGCCGCTGGCCGACTGGGCGCCTGGTTGCAGACCTTTAACCTCTTTCCCTATCAAAATCCAAACAATGGGGAAATGGCACCTTAAGAAAATTTGTGAAGTCAACAGAAAGCCTTGGTTATATCCTTGACCTAAGTGGACCTAGGGTCCCTCTTTCTGCCCTTCCCTCAGACTCACTCTCCCAGTAGACACTTCTTGGCTGTACCTGGGATATAAATGGCGCCACCATTGCACCAATGCGACACAGGGAGCCGCTGGTTCCCATCCCCAGGGCGCGCGTGGTGGTGGGGTAGACCTGCAGGGGAAGCACAGAAAGTGCCCGTCAGTGCGGGTCTCCTGCCCAAGCCCTCCTCTCTCCCCTGCCCAGGCTTTGCTCTATGTAGAAGAACAAACAGACTCAGAATTCAGAGGACAACTTTGAATTTTCATAGCAATAAATATCAGCAAAATATAAACACTTAGAACTTATCTTTTAAAGGAACAAATTCCAAAAATATATATTTAGTTGAATTATTTTAAATATAATTTTAGATAGATAAGCTCTGGAATCAGATAGATTTCCACTTCAGAGCTGTGAATGTTCTACTGAATGGGAAAAAAAAAAAAATCCCCAAAGAGTAATGATTTGATGAAATGTTTAATATAGATACAGTGAAAAGAACTGACCAGAAGGCTAGGCAGCTGCCCTACCATTCCTAACTATTAGAATTAGTAACTATCAGAATAGCTACCATTCACAACTATTTTCTTTTTTCTTTTCTTTTTTTTAAAGACAGGGTCTCATTCTGTCACCTCCCATCTCATCTCATTCTCCTGAGTAGCTGAGGAATACAGGTATGTCCCACCATGCCCAGCTAATTAAAAAAAATCTTTTTCTTTTAGAGATGGGGTCTTGCTATGTTGCCCGGGCTGATCTCAAGTGAACCTCCCAGGCTGCTGAGATTTTATAGGCACGAGCCACCATACCTGGCCATATTCTACTTTTGTACTGCAACTTTTTTACATTTGTAATAGAACCTCATTAACTGATACTTCTTTTTTTTTTTTTTTTTTTTGAGATAGAGTCTCACTATGTCGTCCTGGATAGAGTGCCTTGGCATCACAGATCATGGCAACCTCAAACTCTTGGGCTTACGCAATTCTCTTGCTTCAGCCTCCCAAGTAGCCGGGACTACAGGTGCCTGCCACAACACACAGCTATTTTTTGTTGCAGTTGTCATTGTTGTTTAGCTGGCCCAGGGTCAGGTTCCAACCTGCCAGCCTCAGTGTATGTGGCTGGCACTGTAACCACTTGCTATGGGTACCAAGCCTGGCACTTCTTTGATGCAAAATTCTTATAGGAATTGGTAGAAATTTAGTAAATCTGCAAGTTTTAATAAATTATAAGGAAAATACTTTATAGGAAAGTATGATTTCTCAAAATGTTGAAACTTTTAAAATGCTATCTAATACAAAACAGTTTTTATCAACTCATTAAAGCAAAGTATGTAGCCACTTTAGTAAGCCACATCTTGTTAGTCCCCATCTGTCAAATTCAAAAAATAAGATACTTCCCTGCCTCAAAGGATACTTCTATACTTACAGGAGAAGGCCTAGGAGTGGAATGTCTGTATAGGAAACATTATTTATTTGTTATTTTCTGAAAATTAAAGTTGCTGACTATAATTTAAAAAATGGAGTCAGATGTATAATGATATCATTTTCTTTGATATAATACTGAAGTCTTTTCTTCATCTTTTGAGGTCATCAGAGAGATGGAATAATAGACAGCTATCGGTTTTAGGTACAACTCTTTGAAATTTTTTAACAATAGATATAAAAAAAAAAAAAACACTTAGAAATGACCCTTGAAATCAGCAAATTCCAAAACACAAAGTCAATTGAGTATTCCAAACATGATTCTAGAAGCACACCACATTATTAGATTTTTTTTAGGTTCATATATATTCATGAGATAATTTTAGATTTTGTTCATGAAACTAAATGAAGTATTACATATACTTCAAATATCTCGTAATTTTCTATTTTTATCTGTGTGTGAGGGGAAGATTACCTTTCTCTGTGGCTTCAGTGCTTTTTCACGTGTCAAATCTTTAACTGGAATGGACTTTTCCATTTCCCAGATGAGAAGGAAGGCAGCTTTATCAGTCCCTGCAGTGCGGTTTCCTCTAGCTCCACAGATTACAAAACCAGTTAAAATACTCTTAAGTTCCCTATGCAAATATTGTTTCATTTCTAGGAATATTAGATTTCTAAACTGGGGAGTATATTCTCTAGTTACCTTAAGCAGTACCTTCCGTATAGTAGATGTATAAATTCAATAAATAAATGAATAAAGAATCAGTGAATTTTATATTAATATTTTAGCTACATGGAGCAAATAACAGGTGGAGGAGGAAGTGATCTTCAAAAGACTAAGGACAAAAAATACATTCTAATTTAACAAGAGAAATGGAGCCAGGTATGGTGTCTCACACCTTCTAACCCTAGCACTCTGGGAGACTGAGGCAGGTGGATTGCTTGGGCTCAAGAGTTCAAGACCAGCTTGAGCAAGAATGAGACCCCATCACTGCTAAAAAGAGAACAACGGAATTTAAAAATTTGTACCCTCATGTTGATTTGAAATTAAAAAATTAAATTTAAAAAAAAAAAAAAAAACTAACCGGGCATAGTGGCAGGTGCCTGTAGCCTCAGCTAATCAGAAGGCTGAAGCAAGAGGATTGCTTAAGCCCAGGAGTTTGAGGTTGCTGTGAGCTATGACACCATAGCACTCTACACAGGGCAACAGAATGAGAATATGTCTCAAAAAAAAGAGCGAGAGAAATGGGGAACTTTGCATTTTAACAGCAACGAGTTGCCACCTGACTGTCTCACTTGGAGAAGCACACTGTTAGAGCAATGAGTTTTCCTTCACATGCACGCTATCCAGTGAGATTGGCCATTAGTAGACTGAGTGGGAGAGGGGAAAATCCGTGTCAAATACAGGCAGGCCCCGGATACAAACAAGATAGGTTCTGTAAGTTTGTTCTTAAGTTGAATTGCATTTAAGTTGGAACAGGTGCATTTACCTATTACCTAGTGAGTCAGATGTTCGTAACTTACTGTAACAGCCTCCCTTTGTAAGTGCAAGTTGTATGTAAGGCCGCTGTTTATAACCTGGGGACTGCCTGTAAACCTTGTGGGTTTTTTTTTTTTTGAGACAGAGCCTGAAGCTGTCATGCTGGGTAGAGTGCCGTGGCACCACAGCTCACAGCAACCTCCAACTCCTGGGCTTAAGCGATTCTCTTGCCTCAGCCTCCCAAGTAGCTGGGACTACAGGCACCCGCTATAATGCCCGGCTATTTTTTGGTTGTAGTTGTCACTGTTGTTTGGCAGGACCCGGGCTGGATTTGAACCTGCCAGCTCTGCTGTATGTGGCCGGCACCTTAGCCACTTGAGCTACAGGTGCCAAGCCCTTCTGTTGTCTTTTTAAAAGTCCCCAGAAGCCAGAGATGCCTTACCTCTGGATGGACACTCTCCATGAGCAGCTCACCTTGCACTCCCTGACGTAACCAGCCCCTTGAAGGAAACTAACCTCAGCTGTGTAAATGTAGATGGTGTTGAAATTTGCTGCCACCAAAGCCCTCAGCGTGAAGAGGAAGCCAGTCAGGCCAGCACTGGGGAACAGGAAGCAGGAGAATGGGAAGTTAGAAGGCAGTGTGAGGACCCCACGGGCTCAGTTCAGCTGTATCCACCAAAAGCTTAGAGCCCAGGGGAGGGGCTGCTTTTCAATTAGCCCAATGGTGGGGTCCTGAGGCAAACCTCCTCCCAACTCTACACCAGGCCCTCTCCATTCCCTCAAAGGGGCTGTTCCAGCTTGACCTCCAGATTAGCACACCTGTTGCCCTTACCCCCTGGAAAATGGTACAATTTGCAGCATCAATGATGTATATTACAGCCCAGGCCCCTCTAGGCCTGCAAATTAAGAATGAAATGAATTTTCACACCACAGCTGTGATCATTATTTAAATCACTCAACTCCCTTGGAGTTAATCCAAATAACTTGGTTAACAACTACAGTCCCACTTCTCCAGGAAGCATGATATAATGACCCTAAATATTTTGGTGGGTAGAGTGAGGACACCAGGACTGGTGTCCCTCTCTTGCACTCTCTAAGAAAGGGCAGGCTCAATAGGAAGAGGAACGGGGAGTGGAAGGCACCAGGCACCATCCTTCCAGTCAAACAAGCTGCCCATTCTTTGCTTACCTTGGGAAAAGGGACTGTCCCTTCTCCCATTGTATTGAGCACCATGGGTCAGGAGACCCTATTTTCAAACTATGGCATAGAACTTGCTTGTTTTGAAGCAACCAAAGAGAAAATACCTTGAAGTGCAAATATTGAGGAGAAGGAAGAACAAAGCTGTGCATCCCATGGTGATGGACAGGGTCAGCCGTCTGCCCAGGAAATTAATGCCCAGCATATTCAAAGGATTCACTGGGAAGCAAACAGCAAGACAATTTCTGAAGACTTGGAATGCAAGTGGCATATATCAGTGCTGGCATGGACTCATCCTTGTCATCTCAGAAAAAGCAACTTCATCCAAACCTCTTGAGCATTCCAGCCAAAACCTAGCCCTGTTGCTGTCATAGCTCCTTCAACAGACTTTCCCACGTGGGTTCAAGACGGACAGGCGCTGGTGCCCGAGATGCTTATCATATCACATATGTCTGTTGCCAACTTGCTAGACCTTTATTTTGAACACTTTGTACTGTTTTCCATCAAATTCAAGGTGCCAGTGCTTTTCAAGTACCATCATTTTATGTCTACTAAAACAGAAATAATGTTACCAATTGAAAGCCGCAAAGCCGCAAGTTGTCGTGAGACATCCCAATTTCAGAGATGTTAAAATGTAAAAAAAACAAAAATACATCTCGGAACTGATATAATACAGGAACTCAAAACTCTGCCCCCTCCACGCTTCTCTTCCCCTACACCAATCCAAACTGGAGACAGGTCAGCCTGATGTGGGGACTTGTTCTATTCTCCTAGGCAGGAACCATGTCATAGGGTCACACTTCTCTCCTCTGAGACTAAGGCTCCATTGCACATACCCCACCCAAAACAGAGGAAGGCATCCACCAGTCAGAGGAACACTTACAAGCAATTTCACCGATGGTGCTGATGATCATGGTCTGGTAGTCTGAGGGGGCAAACATGTGGCAGTAGCAGGGGCTCTGAGTCTCCTCCAAGTGCCCCCCAGCCTCCACCACCGTTGACTTCGACTTCAACTTGGACCCACAGACCAGGTCCCTCTCCAGCAGCTCGGCACTGGCCAGGATAATCCCATAGTAGGCAAATGAGATTCCCAACCTGGAAGTGAGAGAAGAACATGGATAGCAAACGCTATGGCAGACCTGGAGGACCGATGGGTAGCACCCTGAGAGGTGGGGAGGTGGACAGGGCATCCGGAACGGGAGGCACAGGATACAGAAAGGCAGAGGAACAGAGAGCCCAGCTCACGCACCACGAGTAACATTCACATCAGTGTCTTTGGGGGAAAAAACACCTGCATCTGTCGGGTATACACTCAGAAGTGGAATTCCGGGGCCATATGATACACATATTTTCAGATACCAACAAACAGTTTTCCGAAGTAGTTGTGCTAATTTGAACCCTAATCAGCTATGTATGAAAGTTCCAATAGTTTACATCCTTCCCAATGCTTGGTACAGTCAGGTTTTAATTCTGGAGAACTTGTGGATTTGTAGCAATATCTCATTGGGTTTTATTTTTTTTATTTATTTGAGATAGAGTCTCACTATGTCACCCTCAGTAGAGAGCCATGGGGTCATAGCTCACAGCAACCTCACTCCTGGGCTCAAGCAATTCTCTTGCCTCAGCCTCTTGAGTAGTTGGGACTACAGGCACCTGCCACAATTCCCGGCTATTTTTCAAGACGGGGTCTCTTATCTGGCTCAGGCTGGTCTCAAACCTGTGAGCTCAAGCAACCCATCTGCCTCAGCCTTGCAAGTGCTAGAATTACAGGTGGGAGCTACCACACCTAGCCTTCATTGGGTTTTAATTTGCATATCCCTGGGGACTTTAAGGCTGAGCATCTTTTGACATGTTTAGTTGGTGTAAATTTTTGGTCACGTGCCTGTTCATGTCTTTTGCCTATTTCTAAACAAGGTTGCCTATTTTATCTTGTTGTAAAAAAATTATATACCATAATATTACATATCATTATATCTCATAACTATATATAAATTTTTAGCTCTATACATTGCAAATTTCTTCTCCTAGTTGGTGGGATATCTTTCAGGTTCTTCATGCTATTTTATGGCACAGAGTTCCTAATTTAGTGTAGTAAAATTCAATCTTTTGTAATTTTTATAGTTAGCACGTTTTGTGTCCTATTTAGGAAATCTTTGCTTACTCTAGGTCTTGGCTGCACAGAAATGAATCACAGAAAGGACCACAAGAGTCTATTCCATTAAATTTGATTATTGGTGACTTTGAAGAATTAGCTCTATCATGTGGTGAGGGAAAAAGACCAGGCCACAAAAGGTTAGGTATTGAGCTTGTATGTTCATAAGGAAAGTTTAAAAAGTTTAAAAAGTTTGTAGACATTTAGGGCATTTTTCTCTTTTTAAAAATTGTATTTATTTTTGTTGATGATGGTGGTGGTGTTTGTAGAATATTACAGAATAAGACATAACTGGATTAATATTCAGAGTCTGTCTTGTGCTTCTCCCTAGCAGCACTCAGAGTGGATTGACTTAAGTGCGCTTCCTCTAAATGCCTGTTTTATTTAAAACTTGTTTTGAAATAATTACACTCTTACCATATGACCCAGATCTGTAATGTGGTCCGTAAATACTTAGCATCCAGTAGGTCTGCAAATCTTCCTCTTTTTTCCTGAGGTAGCAAAAGGGGGGGGGTCCAGAACACATTTAGCAGGATAAGGATGAGGGAAGGGGTCCCCATTTTAGGTCATAGGCGACAAGAAGAATGTGAGAGAGTGGTCAGTGAAATGACCCCTCAGCTCCCAGGAGAACCACTCACCCAAACCACAGAAAATTGTTTTCAACACATTCACCTCTGGCACTCAGTCTTTGGCGTTTAATTACCATTGGCAAGTACCAGAATTCACTGAACTTAAGATCCAGACCCTTTCACTCTTCCTTCCTCACCAATGCTGGTGAGGAGGTGGGCAGGGTAGGAGGGTACATAAAAAGTAACCATGATAGTGATAGGAGATTCTTTTAAAATCAACATTAAAGGTGAATCTTTCTAAGAGTAGAATGTGAACGTTTTAAAGCAATAACTGAGAAAATGACATGAAGGCTGTGTTGACCAGTTTGATGGAAGTATTTCAGATTGCATGTGAAAACCCCACACTGTACCCCAGAAGTGCATTAATGTACATAGTTACCATTCAATAAAAAAAAAAAAAAGAATAGAGAGAGAAAAAAGGCAAAAAAAAAAATCAATATTAAAATGAAAAATGTTGTATTAAAAAGGCATGAGGCTTGCATAAGAAAACAGTGGCATAAAATTGCAAGGTAGGTAGAATGCTGCAGGTTCGAGTTTGAGAAGGAAAGAGGGAGGAAGGAGGCAGGGGGAGAAAGAAGAGGGAGGAGGGAGAAATAGTGGGAGTTGGAACGAGAAGGGTGGACGAGGGAAGAAGAGGAGGGAGAGAGAACTGAGAGAACTCCGTGCTGATCTCAGTGTTTCTGTCCTGGGTCTGATGCGCAAAACACACACCAAGACTGGCCAAGTCTGGGCACTCATGATCATACAGCTGTCCACAATTTTGAGTTAATTGTATCTGTCAACACTTTTTTTTGCAACAATGTTTATTTTTTATACTGCTGATAATCAAAATTTCATAGCCACTTAAAGATTATGTTCTAGTCCCTATAAAGCATGATGGCCTCCCTCATTGAATCATAGTTGCCTAGCAACTAATTAGTCCCCTGCCCCCAGTGCTTGTGCTGTAAGATGCAGTGGTTGAGTATCTTGGTAGGAAGGCAGAAGTTAGCCGATACCGCAAAAGTAGCTTCCTGAACTCTGAGCCCACAAGGGCTTAGTTCCAAAATACTGAAAATAAACTAGAATAATGGACTTGTTCTTAATTCTCTGGAAGTAAGCTCAGGTCTTCTGCTCCAAATTAGGTTGTGCTTGATAATTAGAGGATTTTATGAAGTTTGTTTTTTTTTTTTTTTTTTTGCAGTTTCTGGCCAGGACCTGGTTTGAACCCACCACCTCTGGCATATGGGGCCAGCGCCCTACTCCCTTGAGCCACAGGCCCTGCCCATTGATAATTAGGGGAAACACGCCCCAGAGCAATGTGCGACTACCTTACCAAAATACAACTATGAGTGTGGAGAAGGTTTGGGGTATTTAATGCTCATGATTGTCATGTTATTACTGAGCACACGCTACCTCACCCTTAACATGCAGGCCAGGTGGCAGTGGGATTGAAGGTGTTTATCATTAGTGATGTCCTGGGAAAACAGTCAGGGACACCCAGAGCAACCTCTTGCCTGCATAGAGGACACTCTGACATTACTTGTCCTGCTATGGCCCCACGGTCCCAGAGAGAAGGGTTTCAACAGAGGGATGCAGGGAGGCCTGTGGCTGCTCTAGACCCCTCGCAGTCACAGCAGAGCTGAGTACAGAGCAGGCTTCCCATGGCCGTGCCAGCCCTGTAAGGCTGTGAACAGGCAGCTTTTCTCTGTTCTGTGTCCCTGCTTTGTACTCATTCCCCTCCTTGGTGGTGATACCTTCTCACTCTGCCAGATATCCTTGCATTTTGTCCTCTTCCTCCTCCTCCTATCGAAATTTGTACCAAGCCATGAATCTATACATTCACTTGCTCAAATGGCTGATTGATAAAGATTGTGAGAGGCCTTGAATGCCAGGATGAGGATTCTCTGGGCTTCAACTAGTACTGGGGGCCAGGGGTTCTTGATACCTGAGCAAGTGGGGTGGTGTGTGTTTGTAGAATATTCATCTAGCCAGTTGTGGAGGCTCACACCTGTAATCCCAGCACTTTGGAAGGAAAAAGTGAGAAGATCATTTGATCCCAGGAATTAGAGACCAGCTTGGGTAATAAAGTGAGACCCTATCTCTACAGAAAATAAGAAAAATTAGCTGAGTATGGTGGGGCACACCTGTAGTCCCAGCGACTTGGGAAGTTGAGGTGAGGGGATCATATGAGCCCAGGAGTTTAAGGTTGCAGTGAGCTATGATGTTGCCACTGCACTCCAGCCTAGGTGACAGAATAAGACTCTGTCTCAAAAAAAAAAAAAGAGAGAGAAAAAGAAAAAGAATATTCATCTGACAGTATTGTGCTAGGTAAAATCACAGGGACATGAGGCAAAGAGGGGGCTGTGTCAAAGAAAGAGAATGTCTGTAAAAGATATGCAAAATGTGAAACCACAATGGGACCTGGCAGCTGATGCGATAAGGCGGCTGGGATGAGCCAAACTGTTCCCTGCAGAGCGAGACAAGCATTAAATAAGAGCTGGTTGGGGACACGAAGTGAAATAAGCCAGGCACAAATCATTGATTCCACTTCTATGCAATATCAAGAACAGGCAAACACATAGAGATAGAAAGTGGAGTGGAGGGTACCAAGGGCAGGGGAGCTATTGCCTCATGGACACAGAGTTTCTGTTTGGGAAGGTGAAAAAGACGGTAGTGATGATTACATTTTGAATGTAGTTAATGCCACTAAATTGTATACTTAAAAATGGTTAAGGGCAGCGCCTGTGGCTCAGTGAGTAGGGCGCCAGCCCCATATACCAAGGGTGGAGGGTTCGAACCCTGCTCTGGCCAAACCACAACAAAAAATTGCTGGGCATTGTGGTGGGCGCCTGCAGTCCCAGCTATTTCCCAGCTATTGGGAAGCTGTGGCAAGAGAATCACCTAAGCGCAAGAGCTGGAGGTTGCTGTGACCTGTGAGGCCACAGCACTCTACTGAGGGTGACAAAGTGAGACTCTGTCTCTCTTTTAAAAAATGGTTAAAATGTTACATTTTGTTCTGTGCATTTAGCCATGAAAGAAAAAAGAGAGAGAGAGAAGAAGAGGAGGGGGAGGGGACAGGGAAGGGGAAGGGAGAGGAAGGGAAGGAAGAGAAAAGAAAAGAAAAGAAAAAAGACAAGAAAAGAAGAAGGAAGGGAGGGAGAGAGGGAAGAGAAAGAAGGAAATGAAACTGTTCAGAGGAGGAAAATGAGAAGTTCCGTTTTCAACATGGTCAGTGTGCAATGTACGTACTTGTCAGTTTCAGAATAAACCTTCTGTGGAGAGAGAAAGGTGGGAGCTGGGAGTGGGCTACTGTCAGGGCTGAGCACTGGGAGCTACAGCTAGTTTAGATCTCACATTAAGGATGTTTCTTGCTGTTCCTCAGAGAAATGGCTTCTTCAACCAGTTCACAAAGAACCCTATTAGAATAAGTGCCATTTAGCACTAAAGAAATTGGCATATACTGTTGGCAAGAGGGCTATGAAGCTATAAAACTGTTTCAGAGAACAAGCATGAAAACAAATGAGCCACACAGCCCAGAAAATAGAAGGGATGAACCAGATAGAACATACTAATTTTTAAAGTGCCATTTACAAAAGAATTTTTAAAAATTAAGTGGATAGGAATACACTTTATAAGAAATGTGCAGGACTTACATAAGTAGCTATAAAATGCTGCTGAGAAACATAAGGGAAATATACTTGTAGCAGGATAAGAGTACTCAGTATTCTAAAGCTATTGATTCTCTCTACACTGGCCTGCAACATCAAAAAAAAAAAATCCCAGTTAAACTCTCACAGGATTTTTGTTGAGAAAATGTGAGCAAACCTTGAAGTGACCAGAGTTGTTCTAGAAAAATAGGCCTGAGAAAATAGCTTAGAAAATATGAAAAAAGGGTGGCGCCCATAGCTCAATGGATAGGGTGCCAGCCACATGCACTGAGGCTGGTGGGTTCAAAATTTAGCCAGGGCTAAAAAACAACAATGACAACTGCAACAACAACAACAAAAATCGCCAGACATAGTGGCAGGCACCTGTAGTCCCAGCTACTTGGGAGGCTGAGGCAAGAGAATGGCTTAAGCCCAAGAGTTTGAGGTTGCTGTGGGCTGAGATGCCATGACACAGCAACAGCTTGAGACTCTCTCTCAAAAAAAAAAGAAAAGAAAAAAGATAGTTGACCAGGAGAATTTACTCTATCAAATATGAAAAATGTATTATAAAATACTGTAATTATAAGTCATATCAGACCAATAATAGACCTGTCTATCCTTTCCCTAACAATTTGAAATGTCATCTTTATCATATAATAAATCTCCACATATATTTGAATCTATAAATCATTAGAACAGAATATTCAAAAATAGATTCAAATATATAAGGGATGGATTTTTTTTTTAATCTGCGCAACTGGTTTGCCTTTTGCATGTGACAAAGATAGCTGTGTACCATGTTTCCTATACCCAAGTGAGCCCAGTAAACCAAATTTACTCTATAGAAAAGTGGAAACAAGGAGTAACTGGTGATAAAGACTGAGTTTGGAAACCAATGGAGAAGAAAAAAGGCAGTACTGAAAATAAGACTTAATAAGGCTAAAATACTAGCTTTAAAATAATGACTAATTTGGGGACACTTACAAATAAAGGGAAACAAATACTAGGCAAAAAGATTTGGAAGATCATAATTGGCAAGATTATATTGAAAGTACTTGTATTGTCCAGAAGACAGATAAAGGTACCAAATAATATTAGGTATTGTGGGAGGTAGATAGGCTGATCTCTCAGCAGAGCGCCTGGCCTCAATCCAGGGGAAAGCACAGCAGACGCACCATCCCTGGGGGCTCATTAAGACCACTGAAGATGAATGGAGCACAGCGGCCACCAAAAAGGGCAAAGTCGCTAAGACCATCCCTGTGGTCCAAGAGACAGGAGGCAGGCAGGGCTGAATCCTTTGAACTCCTGATTGGCCGTTAGATTAGAGAACCTGGCTGGCTTGCCCTGCAGGGATGAAACTGGTTCCCCCTCCTGCCCCCACGCCAGTGCTCAGTGGTTAAGGCGCCAGCCACATGCACTGGAGCTGGCGGGTTCGAACCCTGCCTGAGCCAGCTGAACAACAGTGACAACTACGACAAAAAATAGTCAGTCATTGTGGTGGGTGCCTGTAGTCCTAGCTACTTGGGAGGTTGAGGCAAGAGAATTGTTTAAGCCCAAGAGTTTGAGGTTGCTGTGAGCTGTGATGCCATGGCACTCTCTCCACCCAGGGCAACATAGTAAGACTCTGTCTCAAAAAAAAAAAGAAAGAAAGAAACTGGTTTTCCCCTCTCCCTTTCTAAATATGCCTATTGCCATTTGTTAACATACTCAGCCTTCCCCTCTATCCACCGTCCTGAGGACTTGGGATTCTTTTAACCCCATCTTTCGGCCTCTTTGCATTTTGCATATAGGCTTTGTGTCAGAGATCAGAAAAAGCCTTATGAAGAAGCCAGAGGATTGCTGCAGGGTGCCCCTGCCCCATGGGTGAGATAATGTGCACCTTTCTCCAGGAGTCTCAGACTGTGTGTCTTAAGCTGATGTATGTTCGTGAGTTTCCCCAACAACATTTCCTCTGCTGGCTCTCGATTGAGGTCGGCCTCGGGGGGCACCACCCTGACACGCATGTTTTCAATATTTAAGGTCTACTTCTTTAATTAAAAAGAGTGTATAAGTTTCAAGCCAATAGCAGGAAATATAGGGGAGGGAAAAGCAAACTCAATTAATCTAATAGAAGTTAAGAAAGGAAAAAAGGAAAGACATAGTTTAGAAATTCAAAAGAAGTGACAGAAGTCAAAATGTACTAGTAATCACAATTGATGTTAAGTGGATCAAACTCATTACTAAAAGGCACAGAAAACCAGACTGAGTGGGAAAAAACATCAATTATAGATTAGAAGAAATCCACAATGGTGAAAAATTAAGGACTGACTGGGAACACATAAACAATGGGTCTGTAGAGTAGTCAATTTTATAGACACAAAAAGTTGAATGGTAGTTTCCAGAGGCTGGGGGAGGAGGGATCAGAGAGTTTTTGTTTAACGGTAGAGAACTTCATTTTTTTAAGATGAAAAGAGTTCTAGTTCTAGTTGCACAACAACATAAATATATTCAATATGACTTAATTGCACCCTGAAAAATAGTTATGAGGATAAATTTTATGTATATTTTACCACAATAAAAACAGCTTTATTTTTAAAAAGAAAAAACAACCCTCTGCTTCACAGTGGGAAGTTTTCCAAGTACCCTCCCCCCAAACAGATACCAGGTTAAACTGCTTTGTAGGCAAATTTTTACCAAGCATTGAAGGCAATTAATTCCTACCTTATATAAACTATTTCAGAGACGTGAAAAAAATCAAGTAATGAGATTTATAGCCTGGATATCAAAATAAGGCCAGTGTAAGAAAATAAAACTAAAAAACACTCTCTCACCTATGAATGATGATGCCAAATCATGTGATTAGCTCCACAAAGTAGCTGTTACTGTTCTCATTTCATGGACAAGGAAAATGCAGATGAGTCACTTACCAAGGTCCCAGGGCTCAGAGTGGAGCTGGGCGCAGAAGTCTGAACTCACCAGGATGGGCTCCACCAGCTTCCCCTCCGGCATGAACGAGCGGTTCATCTTGGCGATACTCTCCAGGGTGGCCAGGGCGGCCTGGGTATTCCCGGTAGAGACATTGAACCGAGCAGATTCAGGAATAAACTGGGCACAGATTACAAAGAACATCAGAGTGGCAACTGCTGCAGACCCAGGAGCATAGCTGTCACTGTGCAGTCCCACTTTTCCTGGGATAGGATGAGGACGAGTCACATTAAAGGCATACACTATGGCAGGCGTTCTGCTAAATTCAAGGTTCGTGGGAACAAAAAGGTCACATTCCACCTTTCATAGTCCCATCTGGGATGACAATGAGCGGCTACCAAGCTTTGCATCAATCGGGCTGGACTGGAACCTTGTCATTAACACAATGAGATTCTTACATGCAGTTGGTAAATCTCTGCTGCCCTTGCTACCATGCAAGCCCTGAAGGTGACCATAGCAGGGAGCTTCTGCCCCTGCATGGTGGACAATCAGTCCTCATTGTTCTCAACCACTGGTAGTTGAGTACTGTAGAGGCAGTCCCCGGGTTATGAATAAGATAGGTCCTGTAGGTTTATTCTTAGGTTGAATTTGTATGTAAGTTGGAACAGGTGCCTGTTGTGTCCAATACCCCCATTGGTAAATATGAATCAGATGTCAGTGGGATGTTTGTAACTCGGAGACTGCCTGTACTTCATCACATGCAGAAGGCAGCCTGGACTTCCACTGCAGCCTGCCAATCAACTTGGACCACGCCCTGTCCCTCGGTCCTCATCCAGTCAAGGCTCTGGTTCTTCCTCAGAAAAGCATCTCCTCGCAATCCTGTGGCCAGTGGGCAGTTCAGGTCTCCCACTGAGATTATTCTGGCACTTGTAACTGATTATCCAGCTTCATCCCTATTTCCTGATGCCCAGCCTCCACACAGTGCCCTCGGTGGGAAGTCCTCTTCTTAGATAGCTCTGCAATACTCTCCTTAAACACAGTCCCCTGCTCAGCGGAACCTGTGAGCTAACCACCCAAGGGACTGCTAACAGACCGGTCAACCAATGGAGGCGGTCACCATAAGGAACTAGGCCTGCTGTACTGATACGTACATGTGCTGTACATCCAGTCCATGAAAACAGGTCAGCTTGAGAAGTGGCAATGTAGGGAGATGGTGGGCTGTGGAGATTCTACAGTATTAATACCTCCAGTGACCTTGGTCTTCAAGGCCCTTCCCAATCCAGCCACAAGCTTGTCCTCCCTGCCTGCCTCCTGCCGGCACCCCTCCCCTTCCAGGCAGCCTCCCAGACACGTTCTGCATTTTCACATCTTCATGACTGGCCCACCCGAATGCCCTTTCTACCCTCTCCGGCCACCCAAAGGCTGTCTGTTACATTCTTCGAGGCCTAAATCCAACAGCACCACCCCACTGGAATAATCACTCTTACCTCTGAGCATCCACAGAGCTTCAGTCACCCAGCACTTACCCTCATCTACTTAGCATTATCATTTTTCTGCATTCATACCTATCTCTTGCTAATTGGCTGGGAGCTGCTGGATAGTAAAAACTGTGTCTTATGCATCTTTTTAACCCCGGAATATAAAGGCATCCCAAAAGCCACCATATGTAGGGGGAAGTGGGAAATTATATCTAAATGTACCTTTATTTACAAAATATTCATTACAAAACCTTACAGAGAGGTGGCCAACATATAGAGAATATTTTGAAAATATTTTGTAAGACTATATAATGTGTTGAGCCCGGTACATACTCAATATGAATTAAAGGGAAGATTAAGATTCAAAATAATTTTTTTAAGAAAAGCAATAATATAGCTCAGTAGCTAACACACATTGAGCAATGACTATGCTCTAGGCACTAAATGAAGAGAATTTTGTTTTTTGTTTTTTGTTTTGAGACAGAGTCTCAAGCTGTCACCCTGGGTAGAGGGCCATGGAATCACAGCTCACAGCAACCTCAAACTCTTGGGCCTAAGTGATTCTCTTGCCTCACCTTCCCAAGTAGCTGGGAATACAGGGGCCCACCACAATACCTGGCTATTTTTTTCTTGCAGTTGTCATTGTTGTTTAGCAGGCCCCAGCTGGGTCTGAACCTGCCAGCCTCGGTGCATGTGGCAGGTGCCATAACCACTATGCTACGGGCACTGAGCCTAAATGAAGAGTTTTATGTGGTATCTTACTTAATCCTTCCAACAGTCCTATGAGATATGTACCATTCATTAGGCACAAAGTGGGAAGCTGACTTTCCGGGATGGTGGAGCCAGGACTGTGGTTCAGAAAAGTCTGGCTCAAGAGGAAGAGGCTACACTGGCTCCCTCTCTAGGAAGACAGGACACGGGGATAAAACCAAAGGATGAAGTTTAAATGTTTGGATTTAATTTAGATTTAAGAGACTACATCAATTACACAATCAGATTTCATGTTCTAGGCTTGGAAACAACTCACACAGATCAGATCTTAAGGTTGTAGTTGATCCAAGCCCAGAAGAATCCGAGGTGGGATCTAACTGGCTGAGAAACAATCAAGTCTTGGGCGGCATCAGGAGAGACAGGTGTTCTGGTCACAGGAAGCAACAAGCCCACTCAGGCCCTGGTCCCAGAACACCCAGAGACTTGGGTGTGACTCTGAGCCACAGTTCACTCCATAGAAGACAATGACCATCTGGGCATGTCCAGAAGAAAATGAGCAGGGCTCTGGGACCAAATGTCTTTAAAAAAGACTTGACAGTAATGACCTTGCTTCATTTAGAGAAGGGAAGGCTTGGTGGGACACAGATTCCTAAATATTTAATGGGATGTCATGACGAGAAGATAGATCTCTTGTTTTCTATAAAAACAGTAGGACTTTCAAGTAAATTTCTAAGGTGAGAAAATTCTTCTCAAAGTCAGAAAGACCTTCCTTGCTTAGGTTGCCTGGTGATGGGAAATACTATAGAAATCAACATCTCCAAGGCTGGGAGTGTTCTGACAGAGAGGTGTTGCTACAGGGCTGCCTGCGTGGGGTTGAGGCTCAGAATCAATGACCATCAAGGAAGGACACTTATGAATTCTAGAATTTTTTTTTTTTTTTGTAGAGACAGAGTCTCACTTTACAGCCCTAGGTAGAGTGCCATGGCGTCACACACTCACAGCAACCTCCAACTCCTGGGCTTAGGCAATTCTCTTGCCTCAGCCTCTTGAGTAACTGGGACTACAGGAGCCCACCACAACGCCCAGCTATTTTTTTGGTCCAGTTCAGCCAGGGCCAGGTTTGAACCCACCACCCTCGGTATATGGGGCCGGCACCCTACCCACTGAGCCACAGGTGCCGCCTGGATTCTGGAATTTTTTAATTCCATACGGTGCATGACAAAAACACCAGTCCAGCTCTGCTGAGCCTCCAATCCTGTCTTTGACCAATAAGTCATTAGGCACAAATTCTACTAGAAACCATGGTTCTGCAGTGGGGCAGCCTATAGATGAGAGGGTAAGCAGGGAGGCAGGCTGGCATATCAATGGTTGCCTGAGAACATGTCAACAGCAACGGTGAGCATCGACGTTGATGGTTAGAGAGTCATCAGAGAAAACTCCCAGGGGCAAGGACAAGGCAGGCTACAGGAGATGAGGGCTGTGCACTGGTTGAGACAGACTTTCCAATAAAGGCGAGGACGTGAGAAAGGTATGTGTGGGGCAAAAAGGCCACAGGGCTGGCAGGTGGGGTAGGCAGGACAGCAGGAGCCAGGAGAGCTCACTCACCCTGAAGGCCACGATGAGGATGATGCCCGGGATGGAGGCCACTCGGATGAGCCAGCGCCAGCCGATGGTGGGGACAACCACAGAGGCCAGGCCGATGACAAGCAGGGAGCCAGTAAGCCAGAAAACCTGGACGGGGGGAGAGAAAGGCCACAGCTGATCCTGCCCTCTTAGCACTGTCCCTCGGGAGCCGTACTGCCCCGTGATTTGCTCTCTTTAAGGCTGAGATGGGGAGAACGTTCAATGGAGGAATGACAGTTCAGGCCCCCTCTAAAGGCCTGGACGCCATTGGACAAGTCTCTTCTCTGTGGCTGGGTTTGTTGTCTGCAAGAGGGAGACAAAGCTGGAAAGAGGGTCCGTCATACCACTGAACTTTAAAAACTCTGGGGCCCTATGAAGTCTCAGAAGTAGGTCATATATTCACTGGATCATGACTTGAAAGGCACAAAAGAAACAATTGTGAACATGTTCTCTTCTAGGTCTCTGCCAGCTGGTTTCTCTTCTCAGAAGGAAACACACACATATTGCCAGTTTCCTCTGGATCCTTCCAAAGCTGGTCTAAGCTTATGTAGCTAATAAGGATGTTACGGTTTTCTCTTTTTTCACAAATGGTTCCAACTGTATATATTGCTCCACATTTTGGGTTTTGTACTTGAAATATATATGTGTGTGTGTGTGTGTGTGTGTGTGTATAATATGATGATTTTATATCAAGCAAATAGCATGGAGCACCTATGGCCAGTTGGCTGGGAATTAGAACAACTCTGGGTCTTCACCTAAGCATTATTCACCTGTCTAAAGGTGAGGAGGGCGGTGCCTGTGGCTCAGTGAGTAGGGCACCAGCCCCATATACCAAGGGTGGTGGGTTCAAACCCAGGTCCAGCCAAACTGTAACAAAAAAATAGCCGGGCATTGTGGTGGGCACCTATAGTCCCAGCTACTCGGGAGGCTGAGGCAAGAGAATCACCTAAGCCCAGGAGCTGGAAGTTGCTGTGAGCTTTAACGCCAGGCACTCTACCATGGGCAATAAAGTGAGACTCTATCTCTAAAAATAAATAAATAAATAAAAATAAAGGTGAGGAGGAAACAATAACTGCACACTACTTCACAGAGATGGAGAAAGATAATGGACATTTTGGAGACACTAAAGGGTGACTATTTTGTCACTAAAGAGTTCTATTATAGGCTGAGTATAACTTTCTAGGAGGCCCAGGCAGGAGGATCATGTGAGCTTAGGAGTTTGAGACCAGCCTGAGCAAGAACAAGACTCCATCTCTATTAAAAATAGAAAAATTTGCCAGGCATTGTGGCAGGCATCTGTGGTCCTAGCTACTCAGAGGCTAAGGCAGGAAGATCAGCTGAGCCCAGGAGTTTGAGGCTGCTATGAACTAGGCTAATGCCACAGCACTCTAGCCTGGGTGACAGAGTTAGACTCAGTTTCAAAAAAGAAAAAAAAAAGAATTGTATTACGAAAAAAACCCACAAGATTATTTCAGAAACTGATTAGGGCAAGGTGCAATGGCTCACACCTGCAATCTTAGCACTTTGGGAGGCTGAGGTAGGAGGACTGCCAGAGCCCAGGAGTTCATGACCAGCCTGGGCAACACAGCAAGAACCCTATTTCTATAAAAAATTAAAAAATTAGCTAGACATGGTGGCGGGTGCCTGTAATCCCAGCACTTCGAGAGTCTGAGGCAAGAGGATCACTAGAGCCCAAGAACTTGAGGTTGCAGTGACCTATAATGGTGCCATTGCACTCTAGCCAAGGACAGGGAGGCTACCACATTCAACCAGGTAACAGGTGATATGGCACTGAATAGGATTTTAGTAGTGAAATGGTTCTATTAAGTTGTATTTTATTTTATTTATTTATTTTGAGACAGAGTCTCATTAGGTCACCCTCAGTAGAGTGCCATGGTGTCACAGCTCACAAAAACCTCAAATTCTTGGGCTTAAGCCATTCGCTTGCCTCAGCCTTCCAAGTACCTGGAACTACAGGCACCCACCCACAACGCCCTGTTTTTTTTCGTTGAGGTTGTCTTTGTCGTTTAGCTGGCCTGGGCTGGGTTTGAACCCACCAGTCTGGGTTTATGTGGCCGGCGCCATAACCACTGTGCTATGGGCGCTAAGTCAAGTTTTATTTTTAATGGATACATTTTGACACAGACTAATTATGCAAAAAATTTTTTTTGTAGTTTTTGGCCGGGGCCAGGTTTGAACCCACCACCTCCAGTATATGGGGCCGGCGTCCTACTCCTCTGAGCCATAGGCACCACCTCCCAGAAAAATTTTTTAAACTAATGGATCTGGTTCATATTTGAAGATAAGGTGACAGGGTTTGTTGGTGGACACTCGGATTGAGAGTCCGACACCAAGAGATGAGTTAACGGAGCAGGTGATTGAATGAGGATGAAGGGCAGGGACAATACAGATGGCTCTTGAGTCTGAGGCCTAGATGACTGAGAGAATAGCTCAATTCCACTACGGCAGGCCACTATGAACTGCCCGTGGAAACACAGAAATTAGAGGATTCAGGGAAAAATGAAGTGACTAGCACAGAGTATCTCATATTTGTAAGACATTCAATTGACTATCAGGTCACTGGCTACCGGGGCCTAAAGTTTAAGGAGGTGCTTTCTGTTGTAGATAAAGATATGGGGATCATAGACGTAGAGACAGCTACAACCATAGGAGCAGATCAGATAATCTCAGAAGACATGGAAAACACTAGCAAGGACGAGACATAACCGGGTATGAGGCAGGGTAAGAGGAAGGGAAAATGTCCATGGATGAGCTTCAGCAGGACCAGACTCCACAAATTATACTAACTGCAAAACTCAAACAATAAGCATTAAAAGTGTGTGCCACCGTCTTCCAGATCAGGAGAAGAAGCTGGGAGAATGTGGAGTTAGTCTTCGATGCTTGTTAGGTTGTTTTTATTTTTTTATTGCCTAAGTTCAATAACAACAACAAATAAGAGTATTATCCCACTGCTTTATTTATTGCCAAATACATAATGTTTCAGTGGGAATGGTCATCTTTTTCCCAGTCCTTCTGAAAGGTCAGGGCTCTTGGATAACCACAGATGGTACAGGGCACCTAGATTGACATGCCTTATAAATTCAAAGCCAATAATCAATGGCAGGCAGGAACTGCCCCAATCCTCTCATCCGAATAGATTACTCAGCTGGGGGCAGGCAAGCATGGCCTGTTCCCTCAGGTACAATCAGATTATGGACTTCCAAACAGCAGAATCCTTGCAGGGGGGGTAATATCTGGGACCCACCACTAAAGACCCAGCAGGGTGAGAAACTTTATCCCTGATGCCTTCCTGGGCTTCTGTATTTCCAATGGCACCTGTCTCTGGAATATTTCCTGGTTACTATGTTCTAGTATAGAATCTCACTGTTGGATGATAGAAGCCCTGGGCTTAGAAAACCTTGGTGTTTAACCTCTGGCTTCAAGTATTCCCAGTGCTTTTTGGTTGATGCCAAGAAATAGGCAGTGGTATTAACCGGAGAACAATCAACCAGAAGAAAAAAAGTACGTCCAGGCATACCTTATTTTATTACGCTTCACAGATAATGCAGATTTTGGTTCCCCCTCCCCCCATATACACACAAATGGAAGGGTTGTGGCAACTTTGCACGAAGCAAGTCCGTTGGTACCGTTTTTTCAAATAGTATGTGCTTACTCACATCTGAGTATCATGTTTTGGTAATATTCTAAGTCTTTCAAACTTTTTCATTATTACATCTCTTGTGGTGATCAGTTATGGTTGATTTTTGATATTACTATAGTACTTGTTTGGGGCAGTACAAATGGCACCCACATAAGGTAGCAAACTTAAAAATGGCAAATGTTGAGACTCAAGACCCGGAGCGGCTCGGAGCCGGTGAATAATAGCTCTTCAAGTCTGCAATAAAAAATGGCCTCCAATAAAACTACGTTGCAAAAAACGGAAAAGAGGCAGAATGGAAAGAGTAAAAAGGTTGAAGAGGCAGAGCCTGAAGAATCTGTGGTGGAAAAAGTTCTGGATGAAGGAGTAGTAAATGGGAAGGTGGGGTATTTCCTGCAGTGGAAGGGATTCACAGATGCTGATGACACTTGGGAACCTGAGGAAAACTTAGATTGTCTAGAGTTAATTGAAGCGTTTCTTAATTCCCAAAAAGCTGGTAAAGAAAAAGATGGCACAAAAAGAAAATCTTTATCTGACAGTGAATCGAATGAGAGCAAATCAAAGAAGCAAAGAGATGCTGCTGACAAACCAAGAGGCTTTGCCAGGGGTCTTGATCCTGAGAGAATAATGGGTGCCACAGACAGCAGCGGAGAATTAATGTTTCTTACAAAGTGGAAAGATTCAGATGAGGCAGATTTGGTGCTGGCAAAAGAGGCAAATATGAAGTGTCCTCAGATTGTTATTGCTCTTTATGAAGAGAGACTAACTTGGCATTCTTGTCCAGAAGATGAAGCTCAACATTGTTTGCATTGCTTTTTATATATATTTATATATAACTAAAATCTGGGTCTTGGTTTTTGATTGACAAGCGTGAAGAAATTCCTACATTCTAATAAATCAAGTCTGATATGTTTATTTTGAAAGTAGTACTGGGAGAATCGTTTGGGGGGGGCTTGCATCAATAGCCCTGGTTACTTTGAACAAATAAAAGCTTTCTCTAGTTGCTTCCTTTATCAGAAAAAAAAAAAATTGATACCATGGTATATTATTTCCCTTGCATTAGAGAACGGCTTTTCCAAATGCTAAGGGAAATTTCCATAGTCATTATCCAGTAAGAACTTGTGTTTAACTCTGCCTAAGGACCATTCTGGGTTGTTTTTTTTTAAATTTCTTTCTGTATGTGTATATATAACATGCATATGTAAATGATTTTCTTTGTTTTTAAACATTCACCAAAACAAAAATCACAGGTAAGCCTAGGTGTCTGCAATACCATCATTCTGAGCAATGTAAGAATAGAAAAAGTTCCTGAAGCCATAATGTTTCAAATTAAATAGTTGATTCTTAATTCAACAATTAAATGGAAAATTTAAAGCGAGCCACGTCCGAATCTGTATGTATAGTCATATAAATGCAAAGTTGTGTTTACAAAATTTCTCAAAGGAAAAGCTTAATCATTACCAACAACCTCCCCACTCCCATGAGGAAACTAGACAAATCCTGGCGTGTTCTAATGAGGTAAACAAATGAGACTTAGTTAAATGGTCATTAAAGATTGCTCTAGTAAGCCATTCCTAGGCTTGGCTCTTAGAAAACTAGTCAGATGGTTAAGCCATGTTGACAGTTTCATACCTGTTGACATAAATGTGTGAACAAACTTTGTAATCTGAACTATTAACCTGCATGTTTTTTCCTTACCCCAACTCATTCCTTACATGTAGACTCAAAACTTTTCAGTGTTTGAGTTATTGGTTGAGCAGAAGCCATAAAAATAGTCATAATAATCAGAATGTTATCCAACTATATATTGTTTACTTTATTGTAAATAATAGTGAACAGAGGTCAATAAATAGTTTTATATTCCTTAAAAAAAAAAAAAAAGGCAAATGAGGTGTGTATTCTGACTGCTCCACCAACCAGCCATTCTCTTTTCTCTTTCCCTCTCCTTAAGCTTCCCTATTGACTGAGACACAATTTTTAAATTAGGCCAATCAATAACCCTACGGTAGCCTCTAAGGGTTAAAATAGAAAGAAGAGTCCCACCTCTCTCACTTAAGATCAAAAGCTAGAAAGGATTTAAGCTCATGGAGGAAGGCACATGGAGAACTGAGATAGGTCAAAAGCTAGGCCTCTTGTGCCAAACAGTTCTAGCCAAGTTGTAAACGCAAAGAGAAAGTTCTTGAAGGAAATTGAAAGTGCTACTCCAGTAAACATATGAATGATAAGAAAGTAAACCGGCCTTATTATTGATATGGAGAAAGTGTGAGTGGTTGGATAACATTTCCATTAGCCAAAGCCCAATCCATAGTAAGGCCCTAACTCTCTTTGGTCTATGAAGCCGACAAGAGGTGAGGAAGCTGCAGAAGAAAGGAGAAGCTAGCAGAAGTTGGGTCATGAGATTTAAGGAAGAAGTCGTGTCCATACATAACAGCAAATGCTGATGGAGAAACTGCAGCAAGTTATCTAGAAGATCTAGGTAAGGCCATTGATGAAGGTGACAACCCTGAAAACAGCTTTCCAATGTACAGGAAATAGTCTCCTATTGGAAGAAGATGATTTATAAGACTTTGATAGCTAGAGGAAGAGTCAATGCCTGGTTTTAAAGTTTCAAAGGACAGATTGGCTTTTCTGGTAAGGGGCGGACCCTGTTGATAGAGGCTGATGCAGCTGGTGAACTGAAGTTGAAGCCAATACTTATCAGCTGTTCTGAAAATCCTAGATCTTCTCTGCCCGTGCTCTAGAAAGTAAGGCAACAAAGGCTGGATGACAGCACATCTGCTTATAGCGTGGTTATGAATATTTTAAGCCCATGCTTGAGACTCCTTGCTCAGAAAAAAAAAAGAGATTTTCTTCAAAATATTACTGCTCGTTGACAGTGCCCCTGATCACTCAAGTGTTCTGGTGGAGATGTTTTTATACAACACAACATCTATTCTGCAGCCCATGGATCAGGAGTAATTTTGAATGTCAAGCCTTATTATTATTATTTATAAATTATATCTTCATTTTTTTTTTTGAGAGAGAGTCTCATTCTGGCATCCTGACTAGAGTGCAATGGCATTAAAGCTCACAGCAATCTCAAGTTCTTGGGCTCAAGTGATCCTCTTGCCTCAGTTTTTCTATTTTTTTAGAGACAGGATCTCACTATTGCTCAGGCTGGTCTTGAACTTCTGAGCTTAAGTGATCCACCTGCCTCAGCCTCCCAGAATGCTAGGATTGCAGGCATGAACCACCGTGCCTAGCCTACCAAGTCTTGTTATTTAAGAAATATATTTCTCAAGGCTATAGCTGCCATAAATAGTGATTTCTGTGTTGAAACTGAAAATCTTCTGGAAAAATTCACCATTCTAGATGCCATCAAGAGCATTTATTCCAAGGAGGGCAGATCTATGCAAACCTCCTTCCAAAGTCCATGAAAGCTTAAAGGATGAAGAAAGAGGCTGACAAGTTTAGTTTCTCAGAAAGAAACATTTAGTACAGACTTAAGAACACAAGCCAAATCCCGGACAGTTGTGAGACGAGATGAGATGGTGGATTCCTGAAACATTAACCCTAGACCCAGGCCTCATATGCCATAGGGCAGGAAAGTACAGACAATTGAAGTTGATTTCTCAAGGAAAGACAAGAGTGTTATGTGAATCTACCTAAGGGCAAGACTTGTGGTCATAGTTATTTTGACCTAAGAACAAGCTTAGAGTTACTTCTGAACAAGTGGCTCACTGGAAGGATACAGAGGATCAGCATCCCAGGCAGGGCTGTCTTAGCATACACACTATTTGTGATTCCTGGGATGAGGTCAAAATATCTACACTAACAGGAGCCTGGGAGAAGCTGATTCCAACCCTCATGAATGACTTTGAGGGGCTCAAGACTTCAGTGGAGGAAGTACAATAACTACAGACATGGTAGACACAGCAAGAAAACTGGAATTAGGAGTGGAGGCTGAGGATGAGACTGCATTGCTGCAATCTCATGATCAGACTTGAAAAGATGAGGAGTTTGCCTCTTATGGATGAGCAAAGACAGTAAGTGGTTTCTTGAGATGGAATCTGCTTCTGGGAGGATGCTATGAACCTTGTTGAGATGACATAAAGGATTTAGAAGATTCCATAAACTGAGGATGAAGCAGTGGTGGACTTCAGGAGGTCTGACTTCAGCTTTGAAAGGAGTTCTACTGTGGGTCGAATGCTATCAAACAGCATCGTATGCTACAGAGAAATCCTTTGTGAAAGGAAGAGTCAGTCAATGTGGCAAACTGTATTGTTTTGTTTTGCAGTTTTTGGCTGGGGCTGGGTTTGAACCCACCACCTCCAGCACATGGGAGCCAGCACCCTACTCCTCTGAGCCACAAGCGCTGCCCAACTTTATTGTTGCCTTATTTTGAGAAACTGCCACAGCCATCCAAATTTCAATGACCACCTCCTTAATAAGCCAGCAGCCATTAACATCAAGGCAGCAGAAATGTTAGTACCTGCTGAAGGCTCAGAGGATCATTAGCATTTTTTAGCAATTAAGTAGTTTTTAATTAAGACATGTACCTTTTTTTTAGATATAATGCTATTACAAAGTTAATTGACTACAGTATAGTATATATACCAAACAACCACAACATCTGTGTGACTTGCTTCGTGATACTTGCTTTATTTATCTGGCACCAAACTTGAAATATCTCTAAGGGATGCCTGTATGCACATCATACCCTACAGAATGTGGAAGATTTGGTAGAACTTTTCTTTTACCTTACCTGGGACAAGGGTAGCATGTAGCCTCGATATTTTGTGGGCAAAAATTCAGTCTTTATGATTAGCCTAAACAGGAAGAGGAAAAAACCCACAATAATTTTGTTTTTATAAAACCAAATAATCTTTTAAAAAAACAATCATAATTCTTCTTATCACAGGAATAAAGAATTCAAAAACATAGTTTACATATGAAAATATAATTGTTACAGCTAATAAACACTTTGGGAAACAGTAAGAAATAAACTTATAACTACTTCCCTGTTTGCATTTTTGTTAGGTAGGTACCTTCCCCAATAGGTAGGTACCTTCCTTTTGTTAGGTAGGTACCTTCCCCAATAGGTAGGTACCTTCCCCTTTTGTTAGGTAGGTACCTTTGTTGTTAGGTAGGTACCTTTGTTGTTAGGTAGGTACCTTCCCCAATAGGTAGGTACCTTTGTTAGGTAGGTACCTTCCCCAATAGGTAGGTACCTTCCTTTTGTTAGGTAGGTACCTTCCCCAATATCTCCTCCCAGAACAAAGGTCTACTGGAACAGTATAAAAACAAATCCCCAACCACACTCAGTGCAGCCGCCATCTTTCCTCAGGCAGATCTGTCCCCTGCCATTAAACTTGGCCTGAACTTCTCCTGGTCTCGTCTCTGAGTACACCACTGAAGCCCTTTCACTTTTTACTCTCAGAAAGTTATTTTAAACTTTTACCATTCAAGAGCTATTAGCCATATCTTTTTTTGCCAAAAGAAGCATTGACAAAATGTCTTCCCAAGCCTGATTGTCTTTTCTAAAACATACTTGGGAAATTAATATTCACTCAAGAGAAGGTATAAGTAGGGGGACCACACCTATAGCGCATATTGCAAGTACAAGTTGGATCTATCAGGTGTAGAACACAAATGTCTTAACACTGTAATTGGGTCAATGAGGTGAAGGCTATGTTGATTAGTAGGATGTAAGCACTCCAATTTGTACAAATAATCAACTCATTGAATCCCATAATGGCATAAATCTATTTATGATCTATGTATAAATGACTTAATAAAAAAAAGGAAAAAAGAGAGAGAAGGTATAATAATTTTCCCAACTAATGATGACAATGTAAACACAGGTTTCTAATTAAATATATGTTAACTTTGTGACTAGAAGAATAAATGGAATCACATTTCATCAGTTCCCTAGTTGCTCTTCTCCATTCCTGTTATTAGCCAGCATTTAGGGTTTTTAACATATTTACTAGTTATTTCCTGAAGGATGTTTTAAAATTCTGTTCACTCCCGTAGGGCTCCAGAGCTCAAAGCTTAGCTTATGCTCCAGGGGAGAACAATTCTTCCCCTAACACAGGAAAGCAGTAATTAGGTGCTTTGACATCTAATATATCTGAGGATAACTTGCTCCAAGGCACCCAGGAGAGAATCACCTAAGGGGGCCTATTAATTTAAGGGAGGCTCCCAAGGACCTGAACATTTGGCATAACAACATCCATACCATGCAAAGCAAGATCCTGCACACTTATCCAAAGATAGAAGACAGACAAGTGGCATCATGTCTATTTCATTCTTTTTTTTTTTTTTTGAGACAGAGTCTCACTATGTTGCCCTCTGTAGAGTGCTATGACATCACAGCTCACAGCAACCTCAAACTCTTGGGCTTAAGGGATTCTCTTGCCTGAGCCTCCCAAGTAGCTGGGACTACAGATGCCTGCCACAACGCCCAGCAATTTTTTTGTTGCAGTTGTCATTGTTGTTTAGCAGGCTCAGGCCGGGTTCGAACCCACCAGCCTCAGTGCAGATGGCTGGCAGTGTAACCACTACGGTACAGGCACCAAGCCCATTATGTCTATTTCAGTTTTTTTTGTTTGTTTTGGCCGGGACCAGGTTTGAGCCCGCCACCTCTGGCATATGGGGTATATGGGGCTGCCAGCCCTTGGCAAATTGGTTTTGGCCCAGTCTTTTTTTTTTTTTTTGCAGTTTTGGCTGGAGCTGGGTTTGAACCCACCACCTCCAGCATATGGGGCCAGTGCCCTACTCCTTTGAGCCACAAGGTGCTGCCCTTGGCCCAGTCTTAAGTCATAGTGTCACAACACTTTAAAATGGTTATTCCTAAAAGTTACAGGTGCTTATGACCAAAATAAATTCTTGCAACAAATTCTCAAAAAATTAATAAACTGCGTTTAGATTGACACTTTTGTTACCTATGCACCTAACATGGCATTTTTGGTTAGTATTTAGTCTATAAAATATTATTCATCTAGAAAATAATAATAATGATTAGCCTTAGGAACAAAAAAAGATAACACATGCTTAATCCAGTAGCCTGCTGATCTCACCATCGAGCATCATTCTGATGAGGAAATAACTCCTTAGTGAAACAATAAATAAGCAACCATCACTTAAAATACACACAAAAAGCTCCAAAAGGATTAACACGAGTGAAGCCTACACATTTGTAAGTTATTGATGCTGTTGGCCCACCAAGCGATGCATATTTTTGAGTTGCCACAAAGGAACATGTTTCTGTCTTCTGGGGGAAATCTTTACCCTTGTGCATGGCCAGACACGCCACAGCCCACCATGGTCCGCAGGAAGACAAACCAGATGTATGAGGGAGCAAAGGAGGTCAGCAGGGAGAAATAGGATCCCCACACGAACGAGATCAGCAAAATCTGAAGCAAGGAAAGAGGACTTGTTAATGGCATCTGCCTCAACGAGGGGAGGGAGAGAACGTACCTGTGAAGATGAGTCTTCGATTCCATCCCTGTTCGCTTCTGAGGAGCTAATCTATAGCAAGCTCATTAGTCTTTCATGATCACACAGTACAACCCAGGCCCTGCTATTGTCTAAAAGCCCAGACATGCCACGTTTGGACAGTTCTTTATAACTACCCCACTGCACCCACCCTTCCTGGGGGCAGACACCTGAACTTGTACAGCAGAAAGCGAAAGCGTCCCTGTCCTCTCACAAGGCTATTAGGAGTACAATAATGTACTCTGTGGAAATGAGGCATTTGACTTTTCTCTAATAATGATAAGAATATTCATAGTAGACAAAATAGAAGAAAAAAGATACCCTTGATAGTTTTTTGAGACCAGATCTCACTCTGTTGCACAGGCTTGGTGCAGTGGCATCATCGTAGCCCACTTCAGCCTCAAACTCCTGCCTCAGCTAGGACGACAGGCACCTGCCACCACTCCTAGCTAATTTTTCTATTTTTAGTAGAATTGGGGTCCTGCTCTTGTTCAGGTTGGTCTTGAATTCTTGAGCTCAAGAAATCCTCCTACTTTGGCCTGAGTGCCAGTGCAAGATTCTTTAAGAAAAAATTTCCTTTGTGTAAATATATCACAATTTATTAATCCATTCATGGGTCAATGGGAACTTGGGCTTCTTCCATGACTTAGCAATTATGAATTGGGCTGCAATAAACATGAAATATTTTGCAGCCTTAAAGAAAGATGGAGACTTTGCCTCTTTCATGTTTACATGGATGGAGCTGGAACATATTCTTCTTAGCAAAGTATCTCAAGAATGGAAGGAAAAGTACCCAGTGTACTCAGCCCTACTATGAAATCAATTTATAGCTTCCATATGAAAGCTATAACCCAATTATAGCCCAAGAATATGGGGAAAGGGAATAGGGAGGGGAGAGGAGGCGGGAGGATGGGCAGAGGGAGGGTAATTGGTGGGACCACACCTACGGTGCATTTTACAAGGGTACATGTGAAATTTACTAAATGTAGAATATAAATGTTTTAACACAATAACTAAGAAAATGCGTGAATATGTTAACCAACTTGATGAAAATATTTCAAATTGTATATAAAATCAGCACATTGTACCCCATGATTGCATTAATGTACACAGTTATGATTTAATAAAAAAAGAAAGAAAGAAAAAAATTTCCTTATGGATTTGATAAGGAAAAGTTTTATCTTGCTCTGAAATTTTGTTATGACAACTCCTTTGCTTTAATTTTTTTTGAGGTTTCCTAATTGTTTTTCTTCCATACTAAAATGCTTTTTTATACACTTTTTTGAGATACTTATGTTTTCATTCTAATTTACACGAGCCTATGATATTTATTTTATGTGCTTTAAAACATATGGCCAATTCTATTTATGTTTTCCTTTAAGGTTTCTCTCTTTGTCTTTATGTTTAAGAGAGGAATTCTTCACTAGAAATCAAAGAAGACCTGAGTTTGTAATCAGAAGACATAATTTCTGTCCTGATATTTTATCTTAGTGTGTGACTTTGAGCAAGTAGTTTAATTTCAAATCTACACCAGAGTTAACTAATGGGTAGCTACTTAGGTTTATACCTGCAAATTCCCACATTCTAATCTTCTAACTCTGCACATCCTTCAGCCTGAGAAAGCAAAGTGGCTCAGAGCAGCCTGAGAAATGTGAGGTCTGCAAAATTTATCAGGCCCAGAGAGACTTGAGCAGACTTCAGTCATGCTCCCTGCATGCCCGAGGGTAGTGGTTTAAAGACATTTTGTTTTTCTTCCCTTCCCTATAGTTTCCAGACTAACAAATTACCCAAAATGTTACCCCAAGTTGTATGATGTGACCCTCACCCTTCACCTTCATGTTCCTGGAATTTGTGATACAAAGAACTACATGTAGCTAGTTGATTAACCTTAATGAAGTAATGTAGTTTCTTGGTCAACAACTTATGAAGTGCCCCCTAACTACTCTCCCCACCTCTACTTTTAAAGATCCACTTGTAGCAGCTGCTAATTGGAGCATATATGCAGATCAACCTGAATCTATGACTCCTGGGCTGCAGAATTTAACGTTGGCCCCCCAAAACTCCCTATTTATATTAATTTTGTTTCAGTTTATTCCTTTAGGTCAAAATTTCTGGTTTGAAAAAGAAGCCCAGATAAACTCTACACTTATCTTCCTTTCAGTTGAGGTCTAGCTTTAATTTGGGCTTCTTTTTGAAACCCTCTCTTTTAAGAGTAGGGCTTCTGTTTCTGTCTCTGGAGAGGAGATTCAGGCTTGCAGTTCTGCAGAGAATTTCTGCCCTCTCTGTCGCTGCCTCCCAGCAGAGGTTTGGGTTATAGGAGGCCCTCCGGCACTGGTTTTACTTTTGAGGGTCCTAACATTACATAGCCTGTTTTTATTATTTTATTTCATTTTATTTATTTTATTTTATTGTTTTTTTGAGACAGAGTCTCACTCTGTCACCCTGGGTAGAATCCTGTGGCGTCATAGCAACCTCAAACTCTGGGGCTCAAGAGATCCTCCTGCTTTAGCCTCCCAACTACCTGGGACTACAGAAGCCCACCACAATGCCTGGCTGGTTTTTTGGATTGTTTTTTGTTTTGTTTTGTTTTACTATTTTTAGTAGAGACAGGGTCTCACTGTTGCTCAGGCTGGTCTTGAACTCCTGAGCTCTAGCGATCCACCCACCTCAGACTCCTACAGTGCTAGGAGGACAGGCATGAGCCACCATGCTGGCCCCGGGCCTGCTTTAAAAGCTGCAGCTGTCTCCTATTGCTTATAATTTGAACTTGTCTTTTCACTTGTGACCATTTCCTGCTACTTTTGAACCAAAAGGTGCATGAGGGGGCTCCACAGTTAGGAGACACTCGCTCCCTCCAGGCCTGATTGGGTGATCCAGAGGACTAGAGACTTTACAGAGGTGCTGGGACATCTGTGCGTGCTGTGTAGCTGTGTCACAGGGCCTGCCTGCAGGAAGAACACCTGTGGGGACTTTTCAGGTAAGGAGGTAAGGATCGGTACCTGGCACCTCAACACTCCACCACTGCAAGATGATCAGCGATTCTGAAGCACACAAAAGAGCAACTGGAGACTCAGTGGTGACTCTTGGAGGAATGACACTCACAGAGCCACCTTCTTCCACCTGATATTCAGCCCTAGCTCTGGTCACTTCTGAAGAAGAATTTCTAAAACTATGAGAAACTGCCTGTCAAAAACTGAGTTTTTCATTAAGGGACCACCTGCCTTGGACACACCAGCTGGACTGGTGTGTAACAGCATGGACATGGAACGCTATCATGCAAATGCCTAAGTAGATGGACTCACATGACTCAAGATGACCTCAAATCACAATAGCCAAAGTGGGGGCTTCTGGAATCTCTAAGATTGTGTGCACAATTGGAAAAAACAGGTTTTAGAACCAGATAAATTAAAAGGGAGGCCTACTTTCTATGATATCTAGGCGTGTCTAAGAGAGAGACAGGAAAAATTGCTTCCCTCCTAAGTGGTAAACTAAATCATCAGAAACTATTTCAGAGTTTTAAAAAAACCTTGGCTCACACTTATAATCCTAGCACTCTGGGAGCCCAAGGTGGCTGGGTTGGTTGAGTTCAGGAGTTTGAGATCAGCCTGAGCAAGAGTGAGACCCTGTCTCTACTAAAAATTAGCAGGGTGTCGTGGCAAGTGCCCATAGTCTCAACCACTCAGGAGGCAAGAGGATCACTTGAGCCCAAGAATTTGAGGTGCTGTAAGCTATGATGCCCAGCACTCCACCCAGGGGAACAGAATGAGACTCTATCTCAAAAAAGAAAAAAAAGAAAGAAAACCTTGGAAATCTCTTCTCGCCCCTCTGTTGTCTTCTCCTGTACCTGTAAGTCTGTTTAGTTCACCCTTCCACGTCCTGATTTATCACTTCTTCCACCTCCTCCTCAGTCATAGGACAAGGCTCAAAAAAGACCACCTCTGTGCACTGTGCATCCTTCTATAATCAGTCTTCTGTTCCAGCTGCCCCTTTCAGAGTAAAACCAGTAGCAGGAAGAGGAGAACCAGCATGAATCGTGGACCAAAACTGAACTTAAAAAGATTGTAAGGGCGGCACCTGTGGCTCAATGGAGTAAGGCGCTGGCCCCATATGCCAGAGGTGGCGGGTTCAAACCCAGCCCCGGCCAAAAACAAACAAACAAACAAACAAAAAAAGATCGTAAAGGATTTTCCAGATCTAACTAAAACCCCATAGGATTTATAAAGGAATTTGATTCGAATGTCTGAACTTATGACCCCAGATATCCTGACCTCTATCATTTAATCCACACTAGCGTATGAATGGCTAAAACAGGAAAATTGAAATAATCCTTTAGAGGATTTCCATAAAAATGCTGAAGAAGACCAAGAATGAATCTGCAATTTGCTAAATGTGCTGAATGACGCTACACCACAAATATTTCCAAAGAAACTCATGAGGGCTCGGCGCCTGTGGCTCAAGCAGCTAAGGCACCAGCCACATACACCTAAGGTGGTGGGTTCGAATCCAGCCCGGGCCCACCAGACAAAAATGACGGCTGCAACCAAAAAATAGCCAGGCATTGTGGCAGGTGGCTGTGGTCCCAGCTACTTGGGAGGCTGAGGCAGGAGACTCGCTTGAGCCCAGGAGTTGGAGGTTGCTGTGAGCTGTGATGCACTCTACCCAGGGGGGCAGCTTGAGGCTCTGTTTCAAAAATAAAAAGAAACTCATGAGAAGATCCAGCAACATAGAGGAAGACCAGATGCCCGTTCTCGATTATTTTGAATGGTTTGAAAAAAAATCTTCAAACAATATTCCAGTATGGCAGATGTGAGTCTTCAAAATCATCAAAATGATACCCTGTTAAACTCCAACTGCCTACAGGGACTAGATGGAGAGGAGACCTAGTCACTTTCGTTAAGAGACACCAAATTAAGTGAGCAATAATCTGGCCCATCAACGCTCTAAAACTCTCCAAAAGAAAGAAAAATGAGGCCTCTCAGGTCATGAGCTTACAGCTCCAGCAGCTAATGAGTCAGACCAAACCATTTTAGAGAAAAACAACCTCAAATGACCAAACAGGTGTCGGCTTCTATTGCAAGAAAAAAGGTCACCTTTTAAAATATCACCAAAAAAATACCATAAAGGACAGCAAGAAAGGAAAACCACCCGAGAGAAATAGGGCTGCCCCGAGGAGCAAGACCAGCCTTTCTGTGTCTCCTTACTGATGTGTTAGGGCAGCGGTTCTCAACCTGTGGGTCAGGATCCCGTTAGGGGTCGAATGACCCTTTCACAGGGGTCACCTAAATACATCCTGCATATCAGATCTTTACATTGCGATTCATAACAGTAGCAAAATGACAGTTATGAAGTAGCAATGAAAATAATTTTATGGTTAGGGGTCACCACAACATGAGGAAGTGTATTAAAGGGTCGCGGCATTAGGATGGTTGAGAACCACTGTGTTGGGGGAAGTGGATGTATTGATAAACGGGAAGGCAGCCTCGCGCCTCCTGGATAGCAGAGCCGCCCTTCCTCTGAGTAACCAAACCACTCAAATGGCGGGGTAGCCAACCCATCCATGACTCTTTACAAGTCCCAAACCTTTACAACTGCAAATCGAGCCTCTCTCAGCCTTTGTTCCCTCAACTCTCAACACCTTCTTGGCAGAGACTGCCTAGAGCTCCCACACGCACCTCCTTTTCTCAAACTCCGTATCTGGACTGCAGGGGAGCAAGTGTGGGGGCAGGTACCTCGAGAAGAGATGACACACCAGGGCACAAGCCTGGAATCCAGGGATGTGCCGTCAGGGAAGGAAATGTCTGCATTTCCTAATGTGAGTGTTAACAAGGAAATGCCCACTCACGGGAAACAGTGGTAAGAACGGCACAGAAACTTCCAAGTCACACCGCGGGCCCGACCTACCTTCCAGCGGCCATATCTGTCAGCCAGGAGGCCGAAGAGGATGCTGGAAACCATGTAGCCGAAGAACACCATCTGCGGGTGGGAGGGAGACAAAGTGGTTCTCGGAGAGTTTGTAGAAGGTGCGAATTTACCTCATTTACCATCGTCCATCTTCACTACAAGGAGACTGAAAATACGAGAGGGGAAAAAGTAAAGAACTTGGTGGAGAGTTTCACCAAGTCCCCGCTCCTGCCAACAGGTGAAGAGCTCAGGACTCCACAGACAGGTGTTCATGCAGTGTCTGGTGACCCCACGCCTTGAAGACTCCGCCACCGTGGGGAAACCAGGGTCCATGGCGCAGGTAACTTCTTTCCTCTGAACCCGGAGGATAGCTCCGACCCCACTCAGGTGCGTTATTGTGGTTTCGCTGTAATTTTAAAAAATTTCTATTCATTCATGCTCTGCCTTATTTTATATGAAGTTGACGCCACCAGCAGCGGTCTTCATGTTGGTATAAGTAAACCTCAACTTCAAACACCAAAAATAATCATTCACTGACAAAGCTTTTCAAAACAAATGTAAATGCTAAGATGAACCTAGCTATTTTCCTTCCCTGTCCCACAAGGGCGGGTCCTCCCGGATCAGGTTCAAGGACCTGGGGTTGGCCGGCAGCCTTTGCACTCAGCCTGAGTTGTACACTGACGTCTGAGCCTTCTGGCTGCTTATTTTTCTGGCCTTCAGGCAGCCCCGAGGTTCACGGCATTTCCTCTCGGGAAGAGCCAGACTGCTCACCTCCAGGGTAATCAAAGGAAAGCCACTAACTTGCATTTCTAGGTTTAAAAAAAGAAAAAGAAGCAGAAAAGCGGGTTCTCTTTGGCTGCTTGCTTTGCTTTCTTGTTTTCTTTCTTCTTTACTCTTCACGAGAAAGACTTAAATGCATTTCTTCCACAGGGAGCTATAAAAAGCCATCCTATATTCTTAAAAGCCATGATTTTGCCCTTTGCACTGCACTTTCTAGGACAGGAACCTTAACTCAAAGCCTGTGTTAGTCAGGTGAAACTGTTTTCACAGGGTTAACAAGAATTCCATGCTGAGTGTAACAGAAACCTAGTTATAATTAAGCATCACTCAGGCTACACGTTGGCTCAGGGCCTTGTGGCTGCTCACTAGTCAAAAACCACATAACACTGACCATTCGCAGCCCAGTTTCCCCGTAGGTAGGGTCACCAGTGTTGGAATCATAAGGCTTTTGTTAATACATTAAGATGTTTTTTAGATCCTGAATTCCAGCTGAACAGCTGATGCCATTCAATTTGAAGACCCTCCCTCCCACCCACAGGAACTGAACAGCCTCAGAATGGAGTTCTTCCATCTCCCTGACCCCCAACTCCACCCTGCAACTCTTCCAGTCAGGGACGTCACACTTGGGCACACCACTTGTCCAAATACCTTAAAAATCCCAACACAACTACAAGAAGGACTCTACCTAACAAATGCAAACATTGTAACTTAGTTGCATTAATGGTAATTAAAATCATAATTTTAAAAATTGATATTAATTATAAATTTAAGAAAAACAAATCCCAAGCCCCAAACTCCTCCAGGAGATGGATTTGAGATTATTTCCTGTCTCCTTGTTTGCGTGTCTTAAGATTAAACCTCTTTCTCTGCTCAAACTCGGTGTCTCTGTGTACTGGTTTGCTGTGCCTTGGGCAGTGAACCTGGTACAGATACACCCCAGGTTGGTGACCTCTGGTTCTGTAACCTGTTAGGAGAATACAGAGAGGAAACTCCCTCCCCCATCTCTTTGCCTCCCTGCCTCCCTCCTCCCTCCCTTTGGAGGGGCTGCTCTTGTCTGCAGGTGTCTATCTTTACAGTGGAAATGATTCATGAGGTTTATTTCTTTTTTTTTTTTTTTTTTTTT